CTTCTGGCTTATCTTCGCAGTGAAATTTGTTTGACATCTCGTCGATGATCGCTCTTTTCTTTTCTTCGTTGGATAACGCGATTTTATGCACGACAATGTTATGCATCTCCAACCTTGTTATCGAATTCGCCATTTTTGCACGCCAACCTCTATTAATCAATAATGTGTTTCAGGTAGTTAATGTTAATATTTCAATATATGAATATAATGAAGTAAAATTAAAAAATAAAAAATTAACAGTCAAGTACAGCATTGTTTTTACATACCTATTTCTAAGTTAATTTTGAATTCTTTTAATAATTTGCAACATAAAAAAGCTCTTCACTCTGCAAAAACTCGCGTCCGAATGCCTAAAGTAAATTTATAAAGTGAAATTACGTTGATAAACGTCCGGCTTTTTGCAGAAATTCTGGGAATCCGCGCTAAGAGCGCGATCACGAGCGCGAACGCGAGGTAAACATAAACATAAACATTAAAGACGGACAATTTGAAAGCGGGGGAATTCACTGAGAAAAATCAAACAGATTTTCCCTACAACTTCCCAGCGACTACAAAAGTTGCATCTAAGGCTCGGTATTTGTAAACAAATATCAGAGTATTCTTTCTGAAAATCTGTAAAGATTTTATCCATATCTTACTTTTTGCAAAAATATAGAGTACATAAGAAACTGAGCTATTTAACATTTCAACTGTATATATTATTCTTACAGTTTTTTGAGTCCCTGGTTCCAAATCCGCTGTCAGATTAGCAAAATAAATTTATTGAATTATTTTAAAAACAATTGAATGAAGTGAATTTGCTAGGGAAACAAAAACTATAAAAACAATAATATGGAGTTTAAATGTTCTACAATTCATGTCTATACGTTCTCTACGTGATCAATTATTACGATCAATAAAAATTGTTTATTATTTAATGTTAACAATAAATATTTTTATTTATTTTCATGTTATTTGTAACGTAATTTTTCCGTAGAATACGATTTTCAGGTAGATTTCTGAAAATAATTAAAATTTGCTTTAATTTGTTGAAACAAATTATTTAAACAATTCAATATCACAAATCTTACAGCAGATTCGGAATCAGCAACTCCAAAAACCACTTAAAATATATACTGTTTATATTGGCACTTGCCGAGTTGCTCATTTACGCTTAAAGATTAAAATTTTTTAAAACAAAAGCATATATTATCAGTTACCGCAAATTTGCGCAAGAACTATAAATTGAATCATGAAGTAGAAACGTTCTTCTAACTAGTGTACCTTATGTCGAAGGGGCAAGAGGCGACAAACATGTACTTTTTTCACTTTTTATTAAAAAAAAAAAGAAATTTTCCATATTTATTAAATAATTAACAAAAGAAAAGTTTTGTTTTTATAATATATACATATGTAAAAATATCAAGTTTATGGTCAACATTATACATACAAAAATAATCAATATTCAAAAACTGCATTTTGTCCAGCTTTTTCGGATTTCTGACCACTGTGCGTCGTTGCCGGCCCGACGAGGCGTCTAGCAATCGAAGTCTATCGACCAGTTCGTTGGGATCGTCCCAGTGAACGTAATCGATAGCGTTGTCAATCAGTCGCACGGCCGACGGTAGTCCGGTACCCTTCGTAGTCCCAACTTTTTGAAACGGGGTTACGAGCGGCGCTATATTATATCTTTGTACTTCTTTCCCCTGTTGCTCTTGACAGGCTTGTCGGCGCTGCTGCCGCGTTTGTGAGAACTGGTGGCGAAAAGTATAGTCCTGTACGTTAGTTTGTCCTTGTTCGTGTATATTCTAGCGTCGGGAATTCGCATGAAAATCAACTCGTACTGACCGCGCGTGCCCTTGTACCGTACACCGTCGACGACCACGGAGTCATCCGCGTTCACTTCGAATCGCTTGCTACCCAGCATTGTGCCGTTCTCGCAGAGATACACCCCGTAGACATAGTCAATATCCTTATTTTTGTCACCGCTCAGAAGAGCACCCAAGTACTCCCGCCCTAACGGTCCTAGTTGGCTACCCAGAGCGTCGCGACCCTTCGCCGTACTCAAAGACTCCCTGACGGAAGTCTCTGGTGTGGTCGTCGTCTCCGAGATGATCTCGCGTTCTCTGGGTAAAAACTGGACCGAATCGTCGCGGATCGGCGTGGAGCTCGTCATAGTTGTCGCGGGAGCCGAACTCAACCGTGTTGGACGCGATTCTCTTTTTTCCGCGGTTGTCGATGTCCTGATTGGCGTGAATACGTCGTCGTCCTCCCCTTAATCGCGCTCCAGATCGGTGCCAGCATCGTCGTCGTCCTCGTTCTCGCTGTCCTTCTTCGCTCATTTCGTCGCTTTCATTTTTTTCGCGAACGTAAAGCTATCGCCGGCGCCGTCGTCGTCGTTAATTTTGTCCGGTCTTTTATTTTTACGTTCCACGTCATCGGCGAGCCGTTTCAGAGGTTTGACGATAGGTTCGTACCTCTTTTCCAGAGCGATCTCGCTCTCCATTTTTTAAGCCCTGAGAGTGGCGTACTTCCTGCGAATCGAGGCGCGCGTTTTGGCTATTTCTCGCGCGGTCCTCTCTTCCGCGATCGCCTCATGCTCGCGTCGTTCGGCGAAGCGCACTGATCGGCTCTACAGCACGGCGAAGTCGTGGAAGCCCCGTCTGTACCGTCTGCCTCGCAACGCGCTGTCCTTGTCTATCACGGCGAAACCGTAGGTGCGTCGCCAGCACTCGCAACAGAAGGCGCGAAACTCGTTGTACGACATGTCGATGTTCACGTGATCGTCGTACACGTGTCGCAGATTGGTGCCGTCCTGCCTGAACAGGATCAACAAATTTGCGTTATTGCGCACGAGATGTTTCGGTATTTTAGCATACGTCTGACAGAGATAGAAGCAATCGATATTCGAATGTCGACCCATAGAAAAGTACTCCCTCATTCTGTCCTGCTTGTCGCAGGCAACGTCGTCGAATACGAAAACCGAGTCGGGAAGCGCCTCGTCGGGCGGAATGACGTCGCGATTGTCGGAAAACGCGCTATAGCTGATCTCGTCCATAGGCTCGAACAATCGTTCGAGGTATTGATACTTCGGTTGTTGCAGAGATTTCGAGTACACGTATACGTTCTTGAAACGAAGACCGTGCGGTTGTTCCAGCAGGCTCAGCAGAACGTTCGTCTTACCGCAATTGGAGGGACCGCAGATGCTGCAACGTACGACGTTCGGAAGGAGAGGACAGTGCCTGCGCGATTCTCCGTTTCCTCTCTCGGTCGCGCCCGACCTCGCCAACGTTTTGCGATCCAGATTCGAGACTATGGTCGCCGTCTGTCGCACGAATCGCATTTTGCCCTCTCTCTTTCTCTCTCGGGTCTTTTCCGCGAGCGCGCTCGCTCGATTCGTTCGCGATGAGCCCCTCGATCGCCGGAAAGGAGAGGAAAGCGCGGACGTCGTTTCGTTTCGTCGCACGTGCACAAACGCCTCGCGCGTGGGTATAAATAACGCGAGCGTGTCGCCGTATCCGTACAAAAAAATTAATTTAAAAGCAACGAATTGTTCGTGCGCATCGGTGACCGAGATGTTTCCCATACTGGCGGACAGGCACGATATTCTCAATCTAACGGCTGAGGAGTTGGAATTCGTTCCAAAGGTCATTCTGTTGCGTCATTTTGAGAAATACGTACACCTGCTGTGGGACCGTTTGCCGGAACATATAAAAGCGGATTCCGAGGCGCAGAGATATCGCCCGTGCATGGAACACTACAATCGTCCGTGACAGCGAACGCACATAGACGGTCCACCGCCGCTCATCACTGCTACGAGTGCAATCGCTTTCTCCCTCTGAACGATGAGTCACCGACTTCCCGTTCAAAGTAAAAAGAAATAAATCCTCCCGCAACCGCGACCGAATGCGCGGCACCGGTCTACTCAATCGCGCGATAAACGCTTTTCCCTTTGAGCTGCACATACCCGGTTATCAGTTTTGCGGGCCCGGTACGCGTCTAGCCAAAAGAGTAGCGCGCAGCGAAGAAGGCATCAATCCGTTGGACGCGGCGTGTCGAGAGCACGACGTCGCGTATTCGCGAAGCGGCGAGCTCGCCGAGCGACACGTCGCCGATCGACGGCTCGCCGAGAGAACGCGCGAGCGCGTCACCGCGAAGGATTCCACGGCCGGTGAGAGACTCGCCGCAACGGCCGTATGGGCGGCTATGAAGACAAAGACAAAACTGGGCATGGGTATGGAACGCAAAAGGAAAACGAGGAAAGGAACGGGATTGAGGAGAAACGCGAAGACAAGAAGGAAGAGCGAGAGGAAGAAGCGGAGGATACTTCCGACAGCGAAACGCGGCGGCTTCTTGCCCTTTCTACCGATGTTGGGCGTTCTCAGTTCCTTGATCGGTAGCGCGGC